AAAAAAAAACTAAAATTAAAAACTAAAACCTAATATTGTTTTTCTCTTTTCAGATGCCTTCGATTGTAAGTGGCGCGAACTGAAAGAGAGAGAGCATGCATTAATGGAAAAGGAGAGATGCGATTATTGTCCAATCATTAGGAACGAAGCAATGCTAAATCGTTTTAAAGCAATAATAAAAGAAATCTGAAAATGTTTAAAACCAATCAAATCAATGATCCATTACTGACATCTATAATACAAGAATTCGCCATATAATTTCAATAACATTGAATAACGGATCAGTGGATAACCAAGAAGAAGACGAAGACGAACTGTCAATATTTGTTGTAATTCAATTATCAGTAAATTTGATTGCAACACAAAAAGATGTCAGTCATAGAGAGGAAACAGTTTCTTCTGTGGGCAATTATCATGACTTTTGTGCTGCTGTCTGTAACAGGTCTGGATGCCGTCTCTGGCTTGCAAGGCGCTCCAACATGGATGTAAGTATTCAACAATATATCTGTATATGAAATATATAAAATATGTACATACATCACACATACATACATACATATGTGTATATGCAGCTGAATATTGCAGTCATCAAACGGTGTATTGTCTATTCAAATCAATGAAACAGGCTGTACTCTAACTAAATTTTCATWAGGAGTTAGGATAATTAATTAATAAGGCTGCAGCGAATAGAATGTTGTGTGTTGTGTCTTAAAGTAGTTAATTATAAATATTTATACGATCAATTTAAATATCATATCATATATAACAAGCATATTCCAATACATATCGTATAGCACCTTTGCTTAAACACGCATTCTTGTATGGAACTTGCGCAGTTTATCAAATTGCAATTCTAATAAGCATTTACTAATATAATTTCCGTATGTCACAAGCCGTATCAAATTAGACTACACTATTCTCGTAATCCTATTGGCATCATACATCGAGTAAATAATTCTCGTTAAAAATAGTTTGAATACTTTATTCAAGAGATGTTTATATTTATATTTTATAGTGTCTCGTTATCTCTCTGACGATTTGTTGTTTTATAAATTTGCACAATTTGTTGTTTATTAACCAAATAATGAATAGTGGCTTTCGTAGTATTTTTTTTTGTGCAAAGTCTGACCAAAGTTTATTGTGCGAATTCGAATTTTATTATCTCTATGTCTAGCACTTGACTTAAAAAATGAATTTTCTCTTCCCTTGAGACGGCAACGCAATTTATAGGATTTCCTATTTAAATGTTGTGGAATATTAGAATTTAGTGTAAATATTTACATATATATATATAAAAATGGATGATTTATTTATACGAGGTGTGCTAAACAAATATCGTGATTTTTTTTTCCAAATATAGAATTTATTAATGTGATGAACCAAGAGCAGTTCCCAACAGATATTCATGCATGCATGCAAAACATGCATAGTTATATATACATACATATAATATATACATAGTTACATATACAATAATATTTAAAAGAAATTCCAAGCTCTTTCCCTGGTATCATATGTTTAATTCTTATTCCATACATTCAATATATTTTTGTAATATTTTTAAAATTTGTCACAGACTAAAAAAAATCCCCCATATATATGCAAAACAGCTCGATTATTTCAATCTGTGCGCTGTTTGCAACGACAAATTTCGACTTAGATTAAACCAGAGCTGTATGAATTGAGAGCCTACAAAAGGGAGAGAGATACAGAGAGAGGGAGAGAGGATGGGAGGCATGTCTATATTGTTTGGCTGTAGCTACATATGCTACCAATCTATATACTTTATAGAGGGTCAGTAATCTGTAGATTAAATACGCACTTTCTTCAAGTGTACTTTGAGGATAGTTAAGCATTCCATTCAAGCATAGAAATTGCAATGGACTTCCTGAGCTCTCAAGGGCACTCCATTTCCGGCATGCCATAGACCGATTTACTAGCATATTTTATTGTATTTTTTTTCTTCTATTATATTCCGGATCGCTGACGCACTCGTCGTATTGATAAGCATTTTAAGTATAACTGCCTCAATCTTTGACTCACCATGTTGAGTATATTTAATATATATGTATATGCATATAATCTATGAGGCTGTAGCTATTTTCGAGTGCCATCATTTGGGGAAAAAAACTCTCGTTTCAGAGCCATGAATTAGTTGAGAATATATACTTATCGAGAGCGGTTGTACCAACAGACTGAGCATATAACAAAAATCGAAAGCTCTATTTATATAATATATATGCACCTACTACAACAACAACAACTAGYAAAGCTGATAACATTCGAATCAACTGGAAGCTTAACTAATTAAATTTAGTTAACAGCGAGCAACGAGCATCACTTTCAATTCGATCCCAGAGATCACTTATCAAATTATATATATATATATAGAACCGAGAGAACCTTGAACTGGAAATGTTTGTCAGTGTTGTTGTTCCGTGTTTCCTCTTGGTGTTATATTGCGTGGCACCTGTGCTCTCCGTATCCAGCACATGGGGCAATATTTCCAATTCGGCGCAATTGTTGCATGCCGAAAACGTCGTCTACACCTCGTCGCCAGGAAAATATGTCGAGCACGAAATCAAATATCCGACAAATGTGAGCAGTGCTATCTAAATATCTGTGATAAATTATCTCAAGAATTCACTAGTGTTAATTAAACTCGAGTCGCATGCCGTTCACTCATTCATTCATTTTCCCGCCCAATCAGACATGGATTTCTCTCAGTGTATAAACACATGCCACTTTTTGCGAATTCGAACATATGTTGATAACCCCGATCTCAATTTGCAATTCGGCCAACAGTTTGACAAGTTTGCTATATGTCCTGGCAAATTGAAATATTTAATTAGAAATGAGTTTGAAATAAATGTAAAAATAGACTAAATATATATAGCAATATATAAATAAATATTATATATTCGCATTTCCGGTTTAGTTCAGTTTTTTCAATATAGAAAGAGAACTGTAAATCGGAAGAGAGCTCGCTGCTTACAATAATTAAATTTCAATAGTGCTTGACTTTAGACCGAAAGTTCTTGTAAATAAATAAAATTATATTTTAATACGATTGATGTAAAATTTAAGGTATTTAAAAATATATGATAAAAATTAATAAATTGATAAAAGTAAATAGCTAGGTCAACTGCGGATATATCCTACAATGAAAAGATAGAATAGATATGCGTATGCAAAGGCTTGTATATATAATGTAAAATTCCTATAATTTCCTGATGATTTTTCAAACATTTTGGATTTTGGAAACTTCTCTAATTTAAAATGCTGAAGAGCGTGCACCATAAAAGTCGTTAATAAAGAAATCTGCCATAGTAAGTCTTATAAGCGCAGCTTTTACGCAGCGGCTGCGCTTGTAAAGTGCGCAGTAAACGAAGCACGTGCTTATGTGTGCGTGTGAGTGTGCAAGTATGTGTGCGAAGAAGCGTCGAATGGGTGGACTATTAGAGCAGAGTACTGTAGTGATAGGGATATATATATACTTCAAAGTTTAAATTGGATATAGATTTTGTATGCGGATTCAAATATACAGTTATATATAGGTATCTTCTAAGTACTTAACTTTAAAAAGTGCGTTTTATATTCACTTGAAACTAAAATCTTAAATATGAAAATGTTGCAAGAGATGACGTGTTCCGCATTTTCTAAAAGGTGTGTCCCCAATGGGTTTGTTTCGTGACACTTTAAAACGCTATCCTCCACAGTTGGATAATCGAATAGATATTCATTAGCTTGCGTCCCACATATAGGCAACAAATCTGAAGCTGCCAATTAAATGTGTTAATTGCATTAATGATGATAGAAAATCAAGGGAAATTTCTTCAAATCTCGCCCACACACTTCAATTTGTCGTTGTTATTTCATATATCGGGAGTGTTAATGGAACTGTAAAGTTATCTATTTAATTAATTCCTACCATTCATACATCTAACTCAAATCATTTATTCATTCAGCTTATATCAATCTAATTGTATTTAACATAAACAAATATTCATAAAATTTATGAATCGTAAAAAAAAAAAACCAATTAATAAAATATGAAATCATTGCCAAAAAATATAAATCGCAAACTAATCAAGGAAATAGTTCAAAGCCATGAAAATGTGAGAAGTTAAATGGCAAATAAATATCTAATAAATAGAAAATAAATGAGAAATTAAAAATTTTATAATACATGTAAAATTATTATTCAAAATTCAATTTCATTGTAAAAGAAATTAAAAACTTTTTACTGTAAATATAAAATGTACAAATTAATGTACAACAAAAAAAAGCCACAAGTTAACTATTTTCAATATCCTTACATTTCAAATGGCTATACATCCATCCATTGTACATATTCAGAAACTAATCTTATGCACGCACGTAAATCCTGTAAATAAATCGCTTGTAAAAAGAAAGTACGCTTAAATGAAATGAATGATGAATCAAAAAGGAAAACAATAAATATTTCGGTTTCCCACACAATTTAGGGAATTGGTAATGGGCGCATCATAACGGGAATACGAGCGTTCGACCAGGTGACAAACAACACGGGAGGCCATGCTACGATTTATTCTGGAGGCCCTGGTTTTAACTTTGTGAACATCAAACTACAATCGCAGTATAATTATGGCTTAATATTTCGTGTTGAAATTTATGGCAAATAAATAACAAATCAACAACATTTATATAATAAAATATATGAAGTGTATTAAGAATTATTTGTAAAAATATTATTGGACTTTATAGTAATACTCACATAGTTTTCAATAGGTGTTAAAAAACTTGATATATTTCATATAAATTCACTAATCGAGCGCAATGCATTGACAAGTTATAAATTTAATGGATTGATTAATTCACACAAATAAATACTAGATACATTAGGTGGCATTATTTTAAGCGATTCTTATGCACCCCAAATTTCCACCTGAGACTTGATGGCGCCACCGCGGGCCGAGGTGAATTTGATTGTGACTGATTGGGAGCCCACACCGCCGGACGTGATTTCAGCTGTGGCGCCTCGCATCCGTTTCAGATTTGTAATGGCTATGTACTGGATGGTTTTTGGCGCAGTCGGGTCCTGTGTGAGCGTGTATGTCTTTGTTGTGGTCCCGAGCAGAGTCTTGCTTCTGTAGACGACCTCGCGGGCGATCAGCTGGCTGGCTGCTACCTTAGCACCCCAGACATAGTCGAATCCTTCGCTGCTGGTGCCGCCCAGTGCATGGGTCGTGCAGACGCAGGCGGCTGCGACAAGTATGAATGCAAGACTGATCTTCATTGTATTTGGCTTTAAAGTACGAATTGAACTGATGCTCCGTCTGGTGCTGTCTCTCACTTTTATACAGCGACTTTCGAACGAGAAATCGCTGCAAACACGTGGCCTAGTTTGATAATTAAACTTTGACAGCACCTTCGAAGGTAATGGCATCATCAGCTGCATTGGCATGCCTATCCATAGATAACAGACCGCATAGATTACATGATTCCCCAAGATGTTGAAACAGCTGTAACTGTTCTTCGGGCTGATGTCTCAACCATACACAAAATAACTTGAAAAACCCGTTTATTAAAAACGAAAACTATGTTTCTGAAGGGAAAATTAATTTGTTTTCGTTCCATATTAAGCAAACACCAGCAATGCTAGATTACAAAGTCAAAAAAACAAAATCATACATATATGATATTCATTGATATTGATCTATAGATATCTCTTTGAATGTACGAATTTGCCTTGTCCAAATTTGACTTTTAAAATTAGTGAGTTTGAAAAACCGTTAACTGAAAATAGTTTCCGAAAACAAAAGAGTTTTTCTCAATAAAAATTAGATAATCAATGTCGATGCTATTATACAATATATATGAATGTCTTGTGATTATGGTATATCTTATCAAAATATTTAAGACTTACTACTTTTGAATACAAGATTTAATTCTTATGCACATTTTTGATTTAAGTAAAATATGAATAGAAAATATGAAAAGAATTGGTTGTAAATATACTATATAACATGAAGTGGTAGTGAAACCTAAGGAATTATTTCATCCTTTGGTTTAACCTCTCTGCAAAGAAGGTGATAAGTGAAATATTTGCTGCAAAGGACCTCTACTTCTTGAAGCACAAACTTCTAATTTAAGCCTGTTAAGTCTTCATAGTCTACATATACAATAGAATCCTCTTATCAAGAGAAATATCCTAAAATGTGGAAGGTTTTGGTGAAAGGTCTCTTAAGAATAGAAAGGCTACTAGCTGCGGTACAGGGAGTATAACATCGTATTAGTAGTTTCTCATCAATTATAAACATCAACATTAAGGAACTTCTTTTTCCATGTTGCAGCTGTCTGGGATTACGGTCGCCATTCATTGAGTTCGGCCCGCATGAAGAGGTGCTCGCAAATACGAGCATCCCACTAAATATCACCAAAGATGAACAGGCGTACATGCACCAGGAGGGCTTGCGCAAGCTGGGCACGTTCATAAAGCCGGTGGATCTGCGCGATTCGGTGACTGGCTATGTGAAGGCCGATCTGACCAAAAGACTGGACACGCCCAGCGCTCAGGCTCGGCGCGTGCATCCGATACAGGAGGAGATGGACCAAAAGCAGATCATTCTGCTCGACGAGGACACCGATGAGAATGGTCTGCCGGCCAGTCTAACGGACGAGGATCGCAAGTTCATTGTGCCCATGGCACTGAAAAATGGCTCGCCAGAGCGTTGGACTGCCCCGAACCGAGCGTCCGTGGCTGCCAGCACAATGCCGACGCGTTCTGCTCTGGCTATGGCCACGCGACGTCGCAGCACGACAGCTCAAACGAGCACAACAACGACACCCGATCCGACATCAAATATTGATGATCTGAAGAAACACATACTCTTCCTGCACAACATGACGAAGAGTGACACCAACTTTGAGTCCAAGTTTGTGAAGTTCCCAAGCCTACAGAAGGAGAAGGCAAAGCAGTCAACGGGATCGTCCGCGAGTGCCAAGCGGCCCCAGCGACCGATACTCCAGTATGCCGCTCCCATAGCTCCGCCCACACGCAAAGTACCTCAGGGAGCACACACACCGGGGCAGAAGCCATTCGGTGGTTACTATCACAACGAGGATGAGGCAAACAGTTTCTTCCATACGATTGGCGGTGATGGTGGCACCATGGATCGCAGCAAGGAACGTGGCAGTTTCGATACTGTGCCCCAGGTGCATCTGCTCAGTGAGGAGCAGACGACTACAGCGAAAAGCATACCCATAACAACCACGCCCACTCCGGTGGACACAACATCGAAGCGAACTACCAAGCGTCCCGTCTGCTTGCGTAATCCCGACTCTCCCAAGTGTGTGCGTCAACGCCAGCGCGAGGAGCAGCAGCGACAGCGTGAGCGCGACGAATGGTTTCGCGGCCAAGCCGAGTTTATGCGGCCCCACTATGAGCCGGTCGTACAAACGTTAAATAATACCAAGCGCTTCGCTGTATCCATTGAAATACCCGATTCATTTAAAATCCATCCCGGCTCGCCTCAAACAGACGATGCGTCGGAGCTGCAGATTCTGTCGCGTGTCGCACGCTCACAGCACAAACGGCGCTACGCCAGTGGCACTCAAGCAGATCAGGCTCCAATCTCAATTGAGAAGCCCTCACCTGCTGGCAATTTCTTTGCCCATGACATCATAATGACTTCTGCGGGAGTCACCAACGATCGCGAGTTTATGCTCGCCAATATGCATCAGTTCGGCATGATGGTGCCGAAGGAGCAAGACAATGATACCACACCAGCCCCCCCGGCTTATTCAGAAACTATAGACTTAAATCCTGACAACTGTTACACAGTTGACGGCCTTACATATGGCCAGAAGAAGCTCTGCGCCTTGCACACGAGCGTTATGCCGGCGATCAGTCGGGGAGCGCGTGCAGCCATACAGGTAAGTCAATTAGAGAGCCACGTTGCAAATATATTTAAATATTTCTTCATATTCCCAGGAGTGCCAATTTCAATTTAAAAATCGACGTTGGAATTGCAGCACCACAGAAGATGTTTCGGTGTTTGGACCCATGACTGGCTTAGGTGAAATACAGTGTATATAAATAGATATATAGGTATATAAATAGAATATTATAATTGCATTTCAGGATCACCAGAAATGGCCTTCATCCACGCGCTGGCTGCAGCGACTGTGACCAGTTTTATAGCTCGCGCCTGTCGCGATGGCCAGTTGACTTCGTGCGGTTGTTCGCGAGGCTCGCGACCCAAACAGCTGCACGACGACTGGACCTGGGGTGGCTGCGGCGACAATCTCGAGTATGCATACAAGTGAGTGTGAATTTCATTGCATAGCCTATATAATTATAAACATGTCGATAGGATTATAGTCATAAAAGTTAAAAGTGGCTATTATAACCTAGTTAGTTTTTATGCAAGAGGCAGAAGTAGATATTCAGACATCATGAGATATATATATATATTCCTGATTTGGATAGTTATGAGAGTCAAGCTAGCCATGCCCGTCTGTTCTTAAGGCAGTCTTTCGTCCAGTACAAATCTTAAAAACTTAATATGCATAAAAATTGATAGGAATACATACAGAAAACATAAAGTAATCATGAAATATTTCCTCTTCTTATATCGTTAGATTTGCAACAGATTTTATTGATGTACGTGAGAAGGAAACGCGTCGCGGCACTCGCGGTGCTGGCAACCCCGAGCGTCGTGGCACGCACCAGTCGCAACAAAAGCGCAAGCAAATTGAAACGAATGGTACAAAGGATGCTGGGAAGTCCGATTTTAATGTGACAGATCCAAAGACGACCAACAAAACTGCGGCAGGCAGTAATTCAACGACATCCGTTCTGTATGAGGCGCAGCCCAAAGCCAACAACAAAATGAAAGATCAGCCGGTGGATAAAACACCAACAACACGTCCACCATCGTCGTCGTCATCGCTTGCACCGCCCAAACAAGAATACGAAGCCGCAGACGCTGATGGAGGTGGGGCAGAGTCGCGCATTAACCCTGATGATTTATTGGAGCTTCAGGAACGAATTACAAAAGAAATTCTGAATTCCAAATTGAAGGAAACAGAAATGCTTGAATTACAGGTAAGAAATGGGCTTGCTACACAAATTGTTATTGCTATTAATAATGAATATACTTAATTAAAAACAGGAAAAAATTAATCGGGAAATTCTAAACTCGAAACTTTTCCTCGGAGAGGCGAACAGCAAGAGGCGTAAACGCAAGCGCAAAAACCAACGGGCTGTTCGTGCAGATGCGCCCATGCTGCCCAACATTAACAATAAGGCTCGAAGTCTAATGAATTTACACAACAATGAAGCTGGCCGCAGGGTAAGTGTAGCATGTAGTTAGGCGGAATATATTATTATGAATGGGTCTGGGCTGAGGCTAAGAGTAGAATGTATTGAAAAGTCATGAAACGGGTTTAGAAAAAGTTATATAGTTACTGTTCTGTATTTAAATGCAGATCAGATCAGTTTAGGTCAGATGTGGGCATCAAGCAGTTGAGATTGGTCAATAAGGAATTTTTTTGAGTATATAATACATTTCCCATTTATAAATCATGTTTAATATCATACAATACTAATATATATTTTCTTCCATCTTTCATTGAATTAGGCGGTGATTAAAAAAACACGCATTACTTGCAAATGCCACGGAGTCTCCGGGTCTTGCAGTTTGATTACGTGTTGGCAGCAGTTATCTTCCATAAGAGAAATTGGTAAGTTCAATATAAACGTAATAATATAAAAAACGGCTTTTATGATTAAAATTGAGTAAAGGAAAGCGAAGGCAAAAAATATATTTAGCCCAACTTATTTATTAAAAACCAAACGCTGAATCGATTTAGCAATGCCAATATTTCGCCTCGCTTTAGTTATTTTACTAAATTTGGTAATACTCTTATAGTAATTTATTTTATGTTATAAACTTATTTTAGGTGATTATTTGCGTGAGAAATATGAAGAGGCTACAGAAGTGAAGCTGAATAAACGCGGACGTCTTCAGGTTAAAAACAGCGAATTTAAGGTTCCCACTGCACATGATTTAATTTATTTAGATGAGAGCCCCGACTGGTGCCGAACAAATCGTCTCTTGCAATGGTCAGGTAGGCAATCGATTATCATTTACAATTATATTATAGTATATTCAAATCTAATGGATTATTTTATTTTCCCTTTTTGTTTAGGCACGCACGGTCGCGTCTGTAATAAGTCGTCATCGGGTCTGGATGGTTGTGGTATACTCTGCTGTGGCCGAGGGTACAACACCAAAAATATTATTGTTCGTGAGCGCTGCAACTGCAAATTCCACTGGTGCTGCCAGGTTAAATGCGATGTATGTACAAAAGTACTCGAGGAGCACACTTGTAAATAGGTTTTACTATAGGCAGCACAGAAAATGTCCATATGATCACGATTCACATAAACATAAATTTAAACATATTTATATATATATCGATTTAGAATATTATTTATTAAATTATATAAGTAACATGTCTGTTGCCTAATGGATTTTTTTCTTAGCCACTCAATTTATAATCAAGAAGGTTATACCATAAGGTTCGATTAGCGTATATATGTTGTACTGTATACACGAAAAAACTATAGATTAAACAAATTAGCAAGGTAAACAATTCGAAATTTTTATGATTACGAAAAAAAAAAAAAAAAAA